CGCTTTGGGGCTGTCTTCCCGGCCCTTTAGCTCTTACAAACTCCCAGGAATTTACCATTTATTGCTGCCGGCGTTTCACGATCTTCCCATCCCTCACCTCTCCAGGTGTTTCTGAGAAAACTCGTAATTTGCAAGCGTGATTTGCTTCTCAGGTGCTATTTCTTGCTCAGATACATAATTTTGCCCTATACGCAGCACTTGCCCTGTACTCCACCGGTGAGGCCACACCTTAAGTACTGCGCCCGGTTCTGGGCTCCTCAATCCACAAAGGACACTTGAGGTGCTGGAGCAAGCCCAGAGAAAGAAAACAAAGCCGGTCTAGAACACTACTCCTGTGAAGAGCAGGTGAGGAAGCTGTTGTTGTTTAACCTGGAGAAAAGGAGGCTCGGGATAGAGCTTATCACTTTACAACTATCTGAAAGGAGGCTGTAGGCAGGTGGTAGGTGTGTAGGTAGGGCCAGCCTCTCCTCCCAGATAACCAGTGACAGGACAAGAGGACACTGGGCCAGGGGAAGTGTAGGTTGTACATCAGGAGGAATTTCATCACAGAAAGGGTGATTAGACCTTGGAATGTGCTGCCCAGAGAGGTGGTGGAATCACCATCCCTGGAGGTGGTTAAAGAAAGACCAGATAGGTCATTTAGTGCTGTAGTCTACTTGACATGCATGATCCTATAATTTTATAGCAGCATTCCATTATTGCTTTCTTTAAAACACAACAGAGCTGGTCAAACTACCATCTGATGTTTACCTCTGGTCCTACGGCACCTGCCTAATCTACACAATGAATCAAAATGCAGCATCACACAGCAGAAACTGAACAGAATTATATGTGTGAGAAATCTGAAACATTTTTTTTAAAGCTCAGAACAGCTGTAATTTCTGCTCTAGACTCCTGGGTATTTCAAGAAAGAGAGTTGTTATTAACTCATAAAATCTTGTAGCCTAACTGGCAGTAAAATGTCAAAGTTTCAATTAGTATTTTGAAGGGGTGAAGACAGACAACATCTTCCTTTGCTGCCCTGTGTTATATATAAGCCGTGGTCAAACAGACCTACTGGTGTTACCTGGAACAAACCCAAGCACAAGATATTTATGCCCTTCAGTTTCAGAAGCATTGCTTAAAACAGCCATGCTGTCTGCAAAGTACAAGACAGACAACCTGAACTTTCAGTGACCCAGGTTGATCAGTAACCATGTTTTGGAGCAGGACCTTGGCTACCTGATGACCTCACCGTCAGGTATTAACTTGTTGATTGAAAAGTTGCTCTTCTATAGGTCCTGGTATCTGGTATGATTTTAAAGCCAATACCAAGTCAGTGAAATTTTCCCTTCATTCAGACAGCACAAGTAATGCTTTTTACCCTCTGATTATCTGAGTGGCAGTCCAAAAGATAGATTAAACCAGACAATCACATTTAGTTTGCACATGAATTTTAACCCAGAAAAAAAGATGTTGAATACTGCATTTCATACGCTCATGTTTTGATTCCAACAGGAAGGATAATGAATGTGTAGATTCCCATAACTCCAGCACTGATTTAATGTCTGGAAGAGAGGGGGGGAAAGAATAATGCGGATGCTTTTTTCATCCCATCAGGTGTCTCCACCAAAAGCATGTCTTGTGCCCAACAAAGGAGAGGAAGAAAGATATAATTGTAATGTTTTTTGCTGAGCTTTCTGGTTTCCTTTGTTTCAGAAGTGGGAGAGAATTCTTTTGATGCTGCAGGCCTCTCAGAAGTTATTTGTGGAGAGCCCAATTCTCATTTTGTGTGTAGAAGAAAACCCAAGGGTATCTGTGGGCCTCCCCTATGCCACAGTTCTTCAGCTTGTGCACAACTTTGTCTAACAATAGGAAGACAAAAGTAAAACCTTTGAGCAAAACATGTTGCCACTCCTCCAACATTTTCCTGTCCTGCATCTAACTCAAGGTACCTTCTTCTGGTGTAGTACTGGCTACCATCTCCATACCTTGTACAGTATAAATCCACAACTTCTGGTGCCATCTCGGAGTGCAGCAACAGCAACACTTCTTAACCAGCAGATGAAGGAGGGAAAAAGGGCCTTTAACAGAACTACAGAAGGTAGGAGGTGTATGAGACAAAATTCACACTCCCACCAAAGAGGTAGAGAAAAAGCAGCTGGAAGAGGCACTTACTTCTTCAGGTATATACTGTACTTGTCCAGTGTTTTTTTATTGAGCTTTCTGTTCTGATAGTCCTGTCACTTTCTCTGCTTGTCCCTCTTACATGAAAGGAGGAATGACCCTGCAGAGTTCCATTTCCTTCTTTGTCAAAATA